GGTGCATGCATGAATTCTTATAAAGAATATAGTCTGATGAACACATGCCCGACGACTGGAATTTAAGTGCGCACTGTCCAATCCACAAGAAGGGTACCATACTCGCCAACTGCCGTGGGATCAGGCATTCCACCAGCTCCGTCAGAATTGTAAAGGTCCTTTCCGAGTCGTTTGATACTAAACGAGGTTTAAGACAAGGTGACTCCGTTTTATGTGATTTCTTTAATACGATGTTGGAGAAGATGATAAGAGCTGCAGAAGTGAACCGGTCGGGTACAATTTCCAAGTTCCGTTTCCAAGTTGGATAAGGAACCAAAGCAATTGGGAATGGTGATTAACGAGGACAAGACGAAGTATCTCCTGTCATCAAACGTTATAAAATTTAATAATTTTTAATGTATGCCTATATGTACATATGAATGTATGAACTCATTGTTGCAAGTGGTTTGATATTCGTTTTATAGTTTTAGGCATATGCGCGACAGTGGTGTATTAATAAAAAGCAAGACAAAGGTTTTAAAAATACTGAAATCATTTTCACTTGGGTCCATCGATGCCTGATTAACATCCTTGTTCATACAAATATTTATATGGGTAATAATAGAATACAATACTGCGCAAAGAGAAGACGAAAGTAAAAGGAAATGCCGACTTCATATATCGCAAATAAAAGTTGGTATGTAATATGTATTCATGAATTCAACGTAAACTTAGCGATGGAGAGGTAGAAGCACAGATTATATCCCTAAAAAATTATATTTAGAAATAAATACAAATATAACTACTCCAACATCGACCAATAATTTCATGTATTAAAACATTTAAAAATGAAAATGAATAAGTAAATGCTAATTTAATGAAAATAATGTTTAATTTCTAACCTAAACTACATATGTATGTATGTAACTGAATCGCCTAATGCTTTGCCGAGTCATATGCATATGTTTACACAACAAATTTCATTAGCACCTGGTACTCACGTCTTTTTTACTTCCTTTCTATTTCAAATAATTTTATCAATTTGTTTTTGTTTAATTAATATAGAAAGAAAACTTAGCTATATTTACTTTTGAATTTAAGTTAAAAAAAAAACAAATAACGAAGCATGCCGTTTAGAGAACTACCTAGATATTTTAATAAACAAAAATTATGATTTCAACATTGTTAAAGATCAAATAATTTTATCAATTTGTTTTTGTTTAATTAATATAGAAAGAAAACTTAGCTATATTTACTTTTGAATTTAAGTAAAAAAAAAACAAATAACGCCGCATGCCGTTTAGAGAACTACCTACATATTCTAATAAACAAAAATTATGATTTCAACATTGTTAAAGATCGAGTGGCCTGTTGAAGAATTTCCACTCAATAGTGCAATAACTTGACTTACGCTCAGCTAAGAATTCTCCTCTATTGTAGGTTTTTTCCTCCAGTAATACAAATTTTGAAATTACTCGTGTAATAGCACCAGAGCTACTGTTTGAGAAGGGAATTAATTGGTGCTGGTCATAACAAGTGATTTCTTGGTACAAGTTATTATTGATCGTCATCTGTAAAAAATTAACATTGCAGTTACTAAGAATCTTTTTAAAATAATATGTATGTATATATCACATGATTGAGTAAAAATAGCATAGTCACAGTCTCGAGCAAAAATTATTTTCTAAGCATAGGTTACAAGGTTTTATCGAGCGTATTGTGTGAAAGACTGAAGCCCTCCGTCAAAGAGCTGATTGGGCCTTATCAGTGTGGCTTTAGACCGGCAAAANTCTAAGCATAGGTTACAAGGTCTTATCGAGCGTATTGTGTGAAAGACTGAAGCCCACCGTCAATGAACTGATTGGGCCTTATCAGTGTGGCTTTAGACCTGGCAAATCCACCATAGACCAGGTATTCACAATACGCCAAATCTTGGAAAAGACCCGCGAGAAAAGGATCGACACTCACCACCTATTTGTCGACTTTAAAGCCGCTTTTGACAGCACTAAAAGGAGTGGCCTATACGCCGCTATAGCATCCCCTCAAAACTCATACGGCTGTGTAAAATGACGTCCGTCAGAATTGGGAAAGACCTTTCCGAACCGTTCGCCACCAGACGGGGTTTCAGACAGAGCGACTCCCTTTCATGTGACTTCTTTAATCTGATGTTGGAGAAGATATTAAGAGCTGCAGAACTGAACCGCTCAGGAACAATTTACTACAAGAACGTGCAATTGCTGGCTTATGCCGATGACATCGACATCATCGGTAACATAAACCGCGAAGTCTGTTCTGCCTTTTCCAAGTTGGATAAGGAAGCAAAGCGAATGGGTCTGGTGGTAAACGAGGACAAGACAAAGTATCTCCTGTCATCAAACAAACAGTCAGCACATTCGCGCCTTGGCACCCACGTCACTGTTGACAGTTACAATTTCGAGAGTGTTGAGAATTTCGTTCACTTGGGAAATAGCATTAACACCGATAATAATGTCAGCATTGAAATCCAACACAGAATGACTCTTGCCAACAAGTGCTACTTTGGACTGAGTAGGCAATTCAAGAGTAAAGTTCTCCGCTCCGCTGGCTTGGCCATGTCGTTCGAATGGACACCGACGCTCCAGCTCTGAAAGTATTCAACTCGGAATCCGCTGGTTGTCGCAGAGGAAGGGGGAGGCCCCCACTGCGATGGAAAGATCAGGTGGAGAAGGACTTGGCTTCACTTGGCGTTTCCAATTGGCGTCAGTTGGCACAGAAGAGAAACGACTGGCGTGCTTTGTTGAAATCGTCCAAAATCGCTTAGGCGGTTACAGCGCCAAAAAAGAAGAAGAAGAATATAGTAAGCCCAGCCCCAGAGAGAAATTACTTTTTGTATATTAAAAAACATATTAAACATACAAACATGCACAAATCGATGATTGTCTGCAATCATGACAAAATTCAAAATTCAAAAAACAAATCTCTTACTTCTCTTAAGTGTCTCTTGGCACTACTCCATGCTAAATCCTTGCTAAAGAAAGTAGCAAGGATTACTAAAATAGTAAAGATTCGACGTGGATAAGACGAGGGGTAGTTATGCATTTAGTTCAGAAGGCCATCGATATGTAAATTTTTATCGACTTTTAATTATTTTGTCATAGAAAAAATATGAAAACAATTATTTTGATTCCTGTTCGGTACCGGGGGGTGAAATAACACAAACGGCAATAACGCAAATTTGTGTTGTTTCCCAATTGAATGTGAAATAACACAAATTTGCTTTATTTAATTTCTCGTTGAGCAATAAGACCAACTTTTAAACTTAACAATTGAGCAGTAATCGGACTTCTACCACAATGGGGTAGATCTGCCACTTTTTTGAGCATCTACCACACAAGGTCTGAAATCTAACACATATTTGCGTTTTTGAGTACCTAGTTTTATTTTTGCTCGACATAATTCGCTTAATTTTACAAGGCTTTTATCAACTTGCAATGTTGCATGTCCAGACCACCNCGAGAGTGTTGAGAATTTCGTTCACTTGGGAAATAGCATTAACACCGATAATAATGTCAGCATTGAAATCCAACACAGAATGACTCTTGCCAACAAGTGCTACTTTGGACTGAGTAGGCAATTCAAGAGTAAAGTTCTCCGCTCCGCTGGCTTGGCCATGTCGTTCGAATGGACACCGACGCTCCAGCTCTGAAAGTATTCAACTCGGAATCCGCTGGTTGTCGCAGAGGAAGGGGGAGGCCCCCACTGCGATGGAAAGATCAGGTGGAGAAGGACTTGGCTTCACTTGGCGTTTCCAATTGGCGTCAGTTGGCACAGAAGAGAAACGACTGGCGTGCTTTGTTGAAATCGTCCAAAATCGCTTAGGCGGTTACAGCGCCAAAAAAGAAGAAGAAGAATATAGTAAGCCCAGCCCCAGAGAGAAATTACTTTTTGTATATTAAAAAACATATTAAACATACAAACATGCACAAATCGATGATTGTCTGCAATCATGACAAAATTCAAAATTCAAAAAACAAATCTCTTACTTCTCTTAAGTGTCTCTTGGCACTACTCCATGCTAAATCCTTGCTAAAGAAAGTAGCAAGGATTACTAAAATAGTAAAGATTCGACGTGGATAAGACGAGGGGTAGTTATGCATTTAGTTCAGAAGGCCATCGATATGTAAATTTTTATCGACTTTTAATTATTTTGTCATAGAAAAAATATGAAAACAATTATTTTGATTCCTGTTCGGTACCGGGGGGTGAAATAACACAAACGGCAATAACGCAAATTTGTGTTGTTTCCCAATTGAATGTGAAATAACACAAATTTGCTTTATTTAATTTCTCGTTGAGCAATAAGACCAACTTTTAAACTTAACAATTGAGCAGTAATCGGACTTCTACCACAATGGGGTAGATCTGCCACTTTTTTGAGCATCTACCACACAAGGTCTGAAATCTAACACATATTTGCGTTTTTGAGTACCTAGTTTTATTTTTGCTCGACATAATTCGCTTAATTTTACAAGGCTTTTATCAACTTGCAATGTTGCATGTCCAGACCACCATACTGTAAATATAGCAAAGGTATTTATGGCAAACCTAGTCTAGATATCAACCTCGTCATAGGTATCCTATCAAAGACATACAATTAGAAAAACTCTAGAGAAAGATGTCGCCTAGCCAGAAGAAGTTAAAAATATGCACTACATACGCTACAGTGGAAATGGACGACACAAAAATTTCTTTAAATGAAATTAATTGCTGCTATATGTGTGTGGCAACACCACAAAAGCCGATACGTACGACCAAAATGCAATCTTGCTCTAACTTACATTCTTCTTTACACTGTCATTCCTTTGACGTTAGTAGAACAGAAAAATAAAGTTTTACACCTCTTCTATTCTTGCGCTCCACCGAACCATCGTATCGTAATCTCCACACTGGTGACCCTGAAGCAAGAGCACCACTCGCTAAGTATCAACTTTCAGAATATTTTAAAATAGCCAATTTCTGCGATGAGCTTGGACGATAGCAGAATGGTTACAGATGGAGAAGGTAGCAGGGAGCATCCTCCACCACAGAATTTTGCACCGCGAATTCCAATGCCCGCGATGTCAGGCGATAATATCGACGCTTACTTTTATTCCCTCGATTTCTGGTTCGAGGCGACGGGCATTATCGCCGACACGGCTAAATTCAATATCGTCTTGGCTAGCGTTCCGCCGGCCAAACTAATGGAGCTGCGCGCCATCATCGACGCTGCGCCAGCTATGCAAAAATATCAGTACATTCGCACTAAACTATCAGAAAATTTCGCCGAAAGCCAACAACGTCGCCTACAGCGCGTGCTCCGCGATATGCCCTTGGGTGACCGTCGCCCAAGCGACCTCTTCAACGAGATGAAGCGCGCCGCCGGGACTACCTTGAGCGATAGTATTTTACATGACTTATGGCTCAGTCGCTTGCCACCCTACGCGCAGGCAGCCATCATCGCCACCAACGTACCAACGGTGGATAAATTAAAAATCGCTGACTCTATCTGCGAGTCATTTCAGTTGCGTGAAGGGCAGGTGCACGAGGTAAGCAATCCACCACACACCTCTGAGGCAGACTTGCGAGCCGAGGTAGCTGCGCTTAGACAACGCTTCGATGAGGTTGCAAACGGCAGGAAGGTGCGTCGCCCCAGATCTAGGACTCCGGCACGCAACCGAGATGCCAGTAGTGGCGGTGCTAGCGATTTGTGTTGGTATCACTCCAAGTTCGGCCGCAACGCCCGAAAATGTAGGCAGCCGTGTAAGTACGGGCAGCCAACAGCGAATAACGCCCAATAGCAATGCTCAGCCAGCGGCATTTTAGATACCGGCAAACAATCTGAAATGCCATCGAACCGCCGTCTACACATCTTTGACACATCAACTCAGATCCACTTTTTAATTGACTCCGGTGCAGACGTGTCAACCATACCCAAGAGCTCGACGCTGGCTCGAGTTTCAACATCGGATACACACCTGTTTGCTGCTAATGGCTCGCCGATTCAAGTATTTGGCGAGGTTTTGTTAAAACTCAACCTCAACCTGCGTAGAGAATTCGTTTGGAAATTCGTCATCGCGGACGTGACCCAAGCAATTATTGGCGCCGATTTTTTGTCGCACTTCGATCTTCTACCAGACCTTAACGGGCGCCGTCTACTTGATCGGAAGACAGCGCTGAAAACGGTTTGTACAGTGGGGCTACTCAACACAACCAACATTTCAACCATAAAATCAAGCATTGACTTTTCAAATCTGTTGAAAGAGTTCACCGACATAACTCGGCCACCAGCTCCAGACGCAACGAGTCCTTCGACAGTGGTTCATCGTATTATCACCACCGCTCAACCTGTTTATGCTAGACCGCGAAGGCTCTCCCCGGAGAAACTGGTGGCCGCCCGCGCAGAATTCGAACTATTAATGAAACTTGGTATTTGTCGGCCATCCAGTAGCGATTGGGCGAGCCCCCTACATATGGTGCGCAAGGCGGATGGCTCTTGGCGGCCATGTGGGGACTACCGCGCACTCAACGCTGTGACCGTCCCGGATCGATACCCCCTGCCGTTCCTCCACGATTTTGTTCATATACTAGCAGGTAAAACAGTTTTCTCAAAAATTGACTTGAGGAAGGCGTTCCATCAAATTAAAATCCACCCGGATGACGTACCCAAGACAGCCATTACTACACCGTTTGGCTTATATGAATTTACGCATATGACCTTTGGGTTGCGCAATGCAGCGCAAACCTTCCAAAGAGTTATAAACGAAGTTTTTCGCGGCTTCGAAAATATTTTCATCTACCTCGACGACATCTGTGTCGCGTCAAGCTCTTCTGAAGAGCATCAGTCGCACCTTCGCAAAGTATTTCAGCGATTACGTGAAAATAATTTGACAATTAACGCTGCGAAGACGGTACTTGGTGTATCGGAGCTTGAATTCCTGGGACACCTGATAACCAAAGATGGTATTCGGCCGCTTCCCAGCCGCGTTAAAGTTATCACAGAATTCAAGCAGCCTACAGTAGCCAAGGACCTTAAACGTTTTCTCGCGATGATAAATTTTTACAGGTCGTTTTTGCCTCACCCGCTAGTACACCAAGCACCTCTGTTCAAGATGATTCCAGGTAATAAGCGTAATGACAATACAGTTTTGAAGTGGACCGAAGAGAACGTAAGACACTTCGAAGCGTGCAAACAAGATTTGGCAAACTGCACGCTACTTGCGCACCCAGCTATAAATGCTCAACTCTCCTTATGGGTTGATGCGTCCGACTATGCTGCAGGAGCGGCGCTACATCAATTGGTCGACAACAAGCTTCAACCACTGGGTTTCTTCCAGCGACGTTTTTCAAGCGCCGAGCAAAAGTACAGCACCTACGATAGGGAGCTCACCGCAATGTTTCTTGCCGTTCGCCACTTTCGCTTTATGCTTGAAGGAAGGGAATGTCATGTCTACACCGATCACAAGCCTTTGACCTTCGCCTTCCGCCAACGTCCTGAAAAAGCGTCGGATCGTCAAGCTCGGCAGCTGGATTTCGTCGCACAAATCACAACCGATATCCGTCACGTAACCGGCGAGAAAAATGTAGTCGCCGATCTGCTGTCCCGCATACAAGCGATCACATCCGAGCCAATCAACTACGAAGATCTAGCAACGGATCAGGCCACCAACGAAGAGTTGCGTTCCTTCCTTGACGGGCAAGTCAATCATTCGCTTAAGTTAACTACCTTCCTTTTTCCTTTCAGTACAAAGAAAGTATATTGCGATTTCTCAACTGGTCGTATACGTCCGTTTATCACTAAACGTTTCCGACAGGCAGTCCTCGCAGCAACTCACAACATGTCACATCCAGGAATGCGGGCCACATCAAAGTTGATGACAGAACGTTTCGTGTGGCCGGGCATACAGCGCGACAGCCGCCAGTTCGCAAAGCAGTGCATCCAGTGTCAACGTAATAAGGTAATCCGTCACACAGTTTCTCCACTGCAACGTAGAGCTTGTCCAAGCCAGCGCTTTGCACATTTGCACATCGACATCGTAGGGCCGTTCCCACTTTCTGACGGCTGCCGGTACTGTCTCACTGTGATTGACCGCTTCACCAGGTGGCCTGATGCATTTCCGATCCCGGACAGCACCGCTCCAACTGTAGCTACAGCCTTAATCAGAGGCTGGATATCGCGATTTGGCGTCCCACTCGACATCACTTCAGACTTAGGTCGTCAATTCGAGAGCAACCTGTTCCAGAGTCTACTTCAGTGCCTGGGCATTCGACATCTGCGGACTACGCCTTATCATCCGCAAACAAATGGATTAATCGAGCGATGGCATCGCAGCCTTAAGTCAGCTATCCTATGCCACAGCCTTGGGGACTGGACGACATTCTTACCATTAGTCCTTTTGGGCCTACGCTCCGCTTACAAGCCCGATATTGGTACCTCACCAGCCGAGTTAGTCTATGGGACCACGCTCCGATTACCATCAGAATTCTTTATTGACAGCTATTATTAATAGCAAAAAGTGTTTGATAAGAGTCCAAAAGTATATATGGTACCTAGGGGAGAGTATAACTACCCACTATCAAAAAATTATACACATAAAAATACATATTTACTTTTAGGTACATTTATCTACATTTAAGTTAAATTTTTTTCGGCAAATAGGTACACCTAGAAAATATAATTTTCATCCCCAGTGTAAAAAGATATTTTAGGACATCAGCGAGTAAGTGGATGCTGCCAAATCAACGAAGAGAGGGTTAGCGGTCCGCAAATAGCGCCACCTCTATTTTCTACATCGCGAAATGCGCCACCTTATATATTTATGTGAATCTTGCTATGCATTGACCATTCATCATTTTGCTATTGTTGAAGGGATGAAATGATACGAGTAAATACAAGTACATACTCGATACTTTTCGTTCGATACCAAGTAATTTTTGGCATCGATACTTTTGGACCAAGTACCCTGCAAAAAACGGCTGACCATATCGGAAAGAAACTATCGATTGTAGGCTCGCATACATATGTACATACATACATACATCAAAGAAAATTTTATTTCGTTGTTAGCTGTGGTGCAAAAAAAAGAAGAAGTCGGTGAATTTAAAGAAAGAATTAATCAAAATCCGTATATTCTATTTGTATATGTATCGGCCGCTGTGGTGTAGTGGTAAGCAGTGCGCGCTTTCACTCACCAGCATCTGGGTTCAAGCCCTGGTCAAAGCAACATCGCAAAAAATTTAGAAAAAGGTTTTTCTTAACAGCGGTCGTCCCTCGGCAGGCAATGGCAAACCTCCGAGTGTATTTCTGCCATGAAAAACAGCTTCTCATAGAAATAAAATCGCCGTTCGGAGTCGGCGTAAAACTGTAGGTCCCTCCGCTTTGTGTGACAATATCAAGGCGCACGCCGCAAGTTTGAGGAGAAGCTCGGCCAAACACTAACATATGTGTAAGCGCCAATCTATTATTATTACTAGCAGACCCGGCGAACTTCGTCCCGCCCAAAATTTTTATATATTTTATTGAAACTTTTTGGTCCAACATTTTCACCAACAATTCACGTTTACGATTTTCATTGGCACATTTGTCTGCTAAGATTAAGGTTTGGTGGTCATTTGCCGCTTTAAATAACCTAAGGAAAGTGTTATATCCGT